CTCTTCTTTCTCCGTCTCGTTCCGACGTTAATGGATGTCCCGAAGGACAAGGATGGAGTCCGATGGACCTTTGTGTTTTTCCCAGAAAAAAATAAAATAATAATAATAATAATAATAAGTCGCCTGGAGGCGGTTCCTGTATTTCCCTACCCCGTCTCCTAAAGGTTGGTTACATTTAGCCCATGAACTGTGGAGGCTTATCATTATTGATCTTTCTGTATTGCCCATTCAAACTGTTCTAGGTTGGCTGTGCTTAAGACCTTAAACCCTAAACGGTAAACCCTTGCTATGTCCTATAGTCCCCCTAAATCTATAGGGGGACTATAGGACGTAGCAAGGGTTTACCATTTAGGGTTTAAGGTCTTAAGCACAGCCAACCTAGATTTAGGGGGACTATAGGACATAGCAAGGGTTTACCGTTTAGGGTTTAAGGTCTTAAGCACAGCCAACCTAGAACAGTTTGAATGGGGGACTATAGTGAGGGTTGTGAGGAAAGGGTGTTGAGGACACTAAAACCCTAAAACCCTGGATGAATACGCTAAAACCCTAAAACCCTAGAACCCTAAAACCCTAACCCCTATTACAGACTAATGCTCCTGGATGAATACGCTAAAACCCTAAAACCCTAAAACCCTAACCCCTATGTTCTATGCATCTTTTGGGTCTGCTCTGATGATATATGGGGTGGCAGGAGGAGGGGGGGGTGGCGGGGGGGGTGGCGGGGGGGGTGTAGTGAGGGTTGGGAGGAAAGGGTGTTGAGGACGGGTCTGTGACTCTGTTGAAGGTGACTGACGGGTGGGGCGGGATTGGGGAGAGATGGGAGGTGGTGTCGGGTGAAAGGTTTCGAATTAGGTTGTTTCTTTTGCTCCTGTGGTTAGTGTGTCTGCGGGTGGATGGGACGAAGCGGGGTGTGGGAAGTGCATGCATCTGGGGCTTGGTTCCTTGCTGGGCGTGCTGGGCCAGATTAGCCATCTTTGAATTTTGTTCTATCTCCTTCTATATCGAGCCTACCTGTCTTAACCTGAATAAAACGCCTGGTGATTATCGCTGCATCTGGTCTGGAAGTTCGCCCAAATACAGCTATAATGACCGAGCGTTCTATTCGGGTGAAGAAGGTAGTTTGCCGTTGCATCTGGTCTGGAAGTTGACCCAAATACAGCTATAATGACCGATCGTTCGATTCGGGTGAAGACGGTAGTTTGCTGTTGCCTAGTTTGAATAAGGTGAACCTTTTGTTTTTTTTGGTCCTTTTAATTACCTTTTTTTTTTTTTTTTTTTTTTTTTTGGGCGTGGATTTCTGCTTCTATTATTATTTGTTTGGTGGTGATAAGGGGATTTTCTGGAGGGACAGACTTGTGGACTAATGAACACCCACAGATGTCCATGTCCTGGGCACTCTGTCCGCAACAGAGGGGGTGTCAGGATAACTGAATACGGATAGAAGCCAGCCAGCAAGCATTTTGAATGTACCGGGTCCAGAAAGCATCCAAATGCATGTCGAGCTTTGCGTAGCCGAGCTTGCCAGGTCCCCTAATCAAGCTCTGTACGGCCGGAAAAGAAGCCAGCGCTGGAGGGAGTGTAATCATGGGCCTCGCTCCACTACTGACCACTGTATAATATTTTGGAAAGCGCGTGGACATTCCGTCAGAGCTAGCAAAAATTGGGTTCAAGCCGCCACATCGCTCCACTTCCTGTCCACCTGCACACTCTCCAGCTCGTGAGGTCACGGTAGCAAATAACGGCGTCAATAGGGTTTTGGGTTTTGTTCCCCCAGACACACCGGGCTCACTGTCCAAACAGGAGCCTTTGGGTCCGTGGGTTGGAGCAAGGACTTCCATTGAAGGCTGGATTTTTCTTTCTTTCTTTCTTTCTTCTTCTTCTTCTTTTTTTTTTTTTTGCAGGCTGCAATTGTACATCGCTGGACAGCTGATTGTCCTCGCAATTTCTGAGGACTGTCCAACTGATTGTCATCTTGTACAGTGGAGAGTAAGTGGCGCGACGTCGCACGGTCTGAAATTGGACAGTGGACAGATGTGGACGGAGACCCTAAATATTGGTTTTCCATGACAAAATTGAAAAATTTCCACCAGATTTCGGATCATTAGCGCATGGAATAACACCGGTGCGTACCTCTCTTTGGCCCTCGCTCCACTACACAACACTCTATGTGCATCTGGACCACTTTTTCTAGACCAGGACATGCACTCGGGGGGACAAGTGCTGCAGAATTTTGAGTGTACCGGGTCCCGAAAGCATCCAATTGCATGTAGAGCGTCGCATAGCGGAGGAAGGCCGTTTATTTCAACGTGGTTTGGGGTCCTTGATATGCTGTGAAATGTGGGCTGTGCCACTGTAGCATATTTAACACGCTTTTTTTTTTTTTTTTTTTTTTTTTTTTTTTTGTGCTAGGGGTGCGCTCGTAAGAGCAGACACCGCTATTGGTGGGGACCGCCACCTGCTGGAAAACGGGTCCAGCGTCCCTGTATTTAACACGTTTGATGTGTTTAATTTTAAAAATAAAATGTCAATGAATATGGCTGCCCTGAGCCCTCCCTACACTTGCCAATATTTTGTGTTAGCGTCGTGAAGTATAAACCAACAAGGATCGTCTCCGGAGCAGTCCTGATCTGCAAACATGATCACAAATGGAAGTGCAAAACTGTGCGACAGGCGAGGCATGCACACAAATATAAGTGAATTAGAAAGAGTGAGGAGCATAGGATCGGGTTTTCGGCAGAACAAGCACAACAGGCGAGGCATACACACAGGCTGATCTTTGCTACGGTTCGTGAAGCGATCCATGCTTTAGAAAATTTCAGCAACACCTGCACTCACAGTTAATCACCAATTTTTGCCTTCTTTCCCTGCCACAACTACTCTTTATGTTTACTTCGTGCTCTCTCTCTCTCTCTCTCTCTCTCTCTCTCTCTCTCTCTCTCTCTCTCTCTCTCTCTCT